GGTGAGAGTTCATCGTGTGGCAGCCGGTCGAGAAGCAATTTATAGCATCATCCGGGCTATCGCAATCTTGGGTCTTCACACCCTAACCGGCCGAGCGATTGTACTAGACGGATCGGACGACCCGGCTATGAGGAAACCGTCTCTGCCTTTGTCTTGTGTCTTGCAGCCGGAGATCCACTCGGGAACCCCAATCCGAAAGGGCAGGCGTATGAGCCATGTATGTGTATGCGGCATCATGAGCCTTGGATGGGCAAGGCTGGGGCTCAATACGCCAGCACTGGCACGTGTCCCGGATCGCCAGCTTTGATAAACACGCCTGGCACGTCTCCCCAGCGTCCGCCACCGTCATTGAGGCTAAGCGGGATCTACGCAGCTACGCTGGGCTAACGGCTTTTACTTTGGCCCTAAAACAGCACCGCTCGGCACTCTTCGTCCACACACGCCCCTGGACCAAGGCAAGGGGCCGTGTGTTAGCCTCATCCTTTCTCGGCCTACTCTGGACTGTACTACACGGAGTACGAATGAACAGTAAGGTAGTCTCGCAGACGACTGCACTCTGCGGACACAGACTTGTGAACCCCTTCCGGCGGCGCTGCCGGGCGCCCGCCAGCCAAATGTCGAGCTCTGCAGCCAACGGCCATCTCAATTCTAGAATGGACTTCCCCCATCGGACACATCCTATAGTCCGCCTCGTGTGTCTCTCCCTACCGGCCAATTAGCCATCACCAACCGAGGACCTGCAGGGCCGCTCGACCATGAGCACAGCTCTCGAAATATACTCGTCGTCACCACTGTCACAACAATGAAACGCCCCCTTCTGCAAGCCCCGAGCGTGGAGCCCAGAGCCACAGCAAGAACCGCATGCCGTGTCTCTCATTGTCCCAGAGACAGTCCCAGCCCGGCAGCACCACATGGACCGCTCATAGACGCCCAAAGACACGCCAAGCGTGCGCACCTCCGACGTGCCATTCATTGTATTAAGATAGAGTTACGTCGCAGCCGCCCTCTTCGAGATGAACTCCTGTCCTTTCTCCCGTTTGATTTCGAGAGGTGACCGGCGCCCAACCAAAACGCTGCCTCTCACTTGAAGCAATCATGTCGGGGTTGTGTGGTATCCGCCCTGAAGGGATCGTAAGTCGCCTTCCCTTGCTTGACTAGAATCAAGGGCTGCTCCAGCTAACGCTTCACACAGGTGGCTCATTCAAAGTTCGGTCCTCTACCATCATCGTGTTTTTTCGACAGTGTTGTTGTGCCTTTGCCAGCATGGATCCGTATCATTGTCACGTTTGCACTCTTTCACTTTGTCGTTCCCGTCCTCGTCGTGGACAAGATCAAGCGGTATGAAGTGAAGCACGAATGGCAGAGACACGCCCAACTGTCGTTCTATTACTTCACCATCCTCGTCGTTTTCATGATGGAGGCCATGGAAATTGGTAGGCTGGCATCCATCAACTTTGGCGTCGGCCTGCTCCCGTTTGTTTTTGCGGGCTGTGGTGTCTGCGCCGTCATGCAGTCCACCCGGGGTTTCCAGCGCCGCATTCGCAATTGGCAGCCAGCCAACATCATCTTCTGGATCATGAGCATCGCCGTCACCTCTATTAAGTTTGTGACCATCGTAAAGGCGGGACAGGCCAATCCGCAGGCCAGACGTGCCGGCTCCGACTACCCGACTACTCACCAGCTTCAGGACCTTGGCGTTCTCATTGCCTGCTACATTCTCCTGCTCGTCAACGAGATCGCCCTCATGTTCCAGAAGACTTGGGAGGAGACAGTCGACGCCGAGAACATGAAGAAGCTCCGCCTCGAGCGCTCCATCAGCGACCAGGCCCGCTACGATCTTACCCGCGCCATCGAGGAGGGCTACTACCCGTCCGGCGTCACCTACCTCACCCTCAGGCTGGAGGGCGAGTCCGCAAGCGACAAGGATGTACCGAGCAAGGAAGACGAGCTTAAGAAGACGGCCAGCCACAACGCTTCCATTGCGGGATCGTCTTCCAGCGCCAGCGAGAAGGGCAAACGCACCATGGACGAACCGATCGAGCCTGTCCCCATGATCCCACCGAGCTTCCGAAACAGCGAGCGGTGGTCGTCTGCCATGACCCTGAAGGACGCTGCCGCAAGTGACGACCAGCTCAACGAGAAGAACGGCCTCAGCAAGAAACGCGACACCGCCAGATGGTCGGCAATGACTCTCAGGGAGCCGGCGCCCATCCGCGACCCCAACGACAAGCGCGGCTCAGGATTTGGCGGCGCAAAGGCTTCGCCCACGTTTGAAAACATCCAAGAGACGGAGGCCCTGGAGGGCGTAGAGCCGATTCACCGCTACGCCGAAGAGAGAGCCGCCCAGAAGGCACTCCTTAGCGAGGCCCCGTTCTCGATCAACAGGGACAGCCAGCCGCCTCGCAGCCCCTCCGAAGCACACCGATCCTTCCTCTTGAAGCCCGCCAACCCCAACCCGCACGGAGAGCGGTGGTCTGCCATGACGCTCAGGAATGACGGCACAGTTCCGCCGACCAGGGAGGAGCACCAGCCCATGATGTCTTCCGCCAGCACGCCCGAGAGGAAACCTTCCGGCTCGGGCGAGAGAAATGCCATGAGGCGGTACTCCGACTGCTCGTCACGGTCCATCCGGCGATTCTCTGCGCGCAACGATCTGAGGGAGGCTGCGGCTACGGCGGCCGCGTTCGTGGACGGGGAGGATGTGTCTATGGGATCGCCGACGGAGGAGACGCATTTGCAGCAACATCAACCGCCCTCGCCATGAGGGGGACTTAGCGTCGATACCAACTACCAAACTGGTACACACATAACTTTCCTTAATATCTCTTGTCATTTTTGGAGGGGAACGTGTAATTTTTCTTTGAATCTTGCAAAAACAAGCAGGCGAGGCGCCATATCTAGAACGGGCAGGGTCTTATGAGAGATGTGGGAATAGTGTGTATAATCAAGACGAACTCCTCCAAAACGATTCCCCATATGCCGTGTTGTTTTGCAATGAGCAAGTGAGGAAGAGTGTGCCTAGAGATGCTGCTGGCGGTGCATCTGGGCCTCTTCTTTTGGTAGTGTATAAAACCAGCATTTCACTACAATTTACGGCACCAACTTCCGAGACGGTTGCTTTTTTCCCCACAGCTGATTCACACAAGCAACAATACGTGCGCGTCACCTTGGAATTTCACGGCGTATTAGGACAGGGAAAAGCAAGTAAAAACGGTAGTCGCGGTTGAGAGGAGATCGTGGTTGGGGCGTGGCTTGTCCAGCCAGCCATTCCCGTATTGTGACTTGCGGCGCTAAGCTGGGGGTGAACCGCGACGCTCATCTCGGTGGTATTTAAGTGTGAATCGATAAGGGCGTCCGGGGGCGTTTCTTTTCTCTTCCCGATGGCGGGTGTATTTATGTCGTTTTTGTATCTAGTTAGTTGTCCGGGCAAGGCAAGGCCGGTGTGGAGCGCGATGGGGGGAAAACGTTGGAGCGGGAGGCGTGTGAGTTTTGACAAGATGAAAATAGGGGGCGGAAGGAGGTTTGACAGGGCGAGGGAGGGCGGGAGGATGGAAGGATGAATTATTCATTGATGGGCGTGTTTGGGTGAAGGAAGGCGATGGGAGTGAGTGTGCATCGTCTTTTGACTTATTTGAGAGAGTGGTTCTCGTATGTGGCTTTGTCTTGTCAACGAATGTTGAAGCTGCGAGTTCCTGGAGATGGAAATAAGCCACCGGGGGTTACGCGGCCCGAAGAAGGGAAGCCGAAGGAATCGTGGCGCGGTCCATAAGCAGACCTGCTGTTGGTAGCCTCGAGTAGGTATGTTACTTTCGTCAGGCGGCGCAGTCTGATAAGTCAGATTCCATGTTTTTTTCTGGTCCAAGTTCGTTGGACGGGGTTGGAAGCAGCTACTAATATATTCATTCTCTCATTGCATTTTCTTTCTTTTGGGCGTTGCCGTGCATGAGTGCGGCGTCCGTTTATTGATTCTTCCAACTTCTTTATCTTGGCATTCAGGATCCTTGGCCCCCCTGGTAGAGAATGAGTGACTTTGCGAATCGGAGGAGGGACGATGAGAAGGAGTCTGCGGAGGAACCACACCACCAACGAGATCACCGCTCGACCACGGCGAGTGAGAATGACGATCCCGTGAAGCACCGCCGGGGCGGCGGCGGCGCCCCGAGGAAGGGGCACACCAAGTCGCGGAACGGGTGTATCGGGTGCAAGAGGCGACGGGTCAAGTGCTCGGAGCGGCGGCCCGAGTGTGAGGGGTGTCTGAGGATGGGGCTTGTTTGCGAGTGGGCGTGGCCTGCGAAGAGGCACCTGGGGGCGGGTTCCGGGAGGAGACGGGTGGTGACGATGTGGGTGGGGGATAGTAGTAGCGGCGACGGTGAGGATGAGGAGAGGGAGATGGTGATGGGAATAGGGGGTTCGCCGCCGCCTGTGTTTGGGATGGAGGACTTGAGGTTCTTTCAGCACTTTATGCTGGATGCTATCCCGCCTTTGCCCGTCGGGGGAGGGGAGGTGTGGAGGGCTGTCGCGAGGATGGCGCATAAGGTGAGTTTTGTGTGCTTCCTTACGGACTACTATGCTTTATCTTTCTGGTGGACTGACAGATGGGGGGAAAGTACGACTTTTTGATGCACGCGGTGTTGGCCCTCGGCGCATCACATCTTGCTCTGTGTAGTACTTCGGGCGGCGGCGGCGGCGGCAGCGGCAGCGGCTCCGTCTCCTTGTCGTCAGGGATGCGCGTGATGGAGCGGCAGGCGTTGGGGCACAGGGTGCGAGCGATACGCGCGCTCAACGACAAGCTGTCTGCCGGGCGGCTGAGCAGGGTCGACGGGGACGCGGCGTTTGCGGCGATGATGGCGTTGACGTTCCAGGCCGGGTACATGGTTGACGGGATGGGGGATTTCGTGGCCATGGTTCGGGGGTGTAAGTCTCTCCCTCTGCCCTTCTCTGTGTGTGTATACGTGATGCTCAAATGAAAGTAAAAAGGCCATGTCGTCGCCGACAACGCGATGCCCTCGTTCCCCGACTCTGCGTTCCGTGAGTTCTCGGGCCCGGGCTACGTCTCGGGCTTCCGGTCGCTGCTGCAGCCGGACCACCCCAGCAGAGCCTCCAGGCTGGAGGACGTCAGAGAGGCAGAGCGGCGGGAGGTTCTTGACGGGTTCGTGGGCAGTCTGCGGGACGTCGGGGCGCTGTGCGGGAGCGTGTGCGAGGTCGAGTACCTGGCGGGGATGAAGAGGGTTGTCGGGCTTGCGATCGCTGGGTCTGAGGATGGTGAGTGTTTCTGGCCCCCGTGGGAATTAGGGAGGGTATTAACCAGACAGCAGCGTACCTCGAGTTCGCGGCCATGTACAACCGCCTCGGTGAGATGAGCAGCGACGACTTCGTGCGGTTCAGCGCGCCCGGGAACCACGCCGCGCGGATCCTGCTGGGGCACTTCTTCCTGCTCGCGCAGGTAGTCGAGATGATCAACCACCGCAGAGGGCGGAGCCGCGAGGGACGGTTCCGGGCGAGGGTGACGCTGGCTTGGCTGGAGGGGATCGAGGAGGGGCTGCCGGGGGAGTTGAAGGGGTATTTGGGGTGGCCTTTGGGGTTTGCGAGGGGGCGCATGAGGAGATTGGATGGAGGGGACGGTGGGATGGGGTTGTCGTGAGGGTTTGTGGGTGGGAGGTGGGTGGTGTGTCGAGAAAAGTTATACGGATACCAAAATGAACTTGGGCATATCCGACTTACATCCTTCTCACTAGATTCTCAAAGGCCTCTACCACAACTGCCATGGTCCGACATGAGCAAATTTCCAGCGGCTAAATCAAAACATTATACTAGAGTTTAGATATTGACGGTAGGGCATCTGCTTCCATCAGGTTCACAACGGCATCGCGTGCCATCCAACCACGGGGGCTCGATTTTGAATAGATAGATTTGATAAATCCCATCTCACAAAACCTGCTACCTCTGGCCGACCCCTCGGCAGGAACAGCGTGTTCTTTACTTCAAGATGCTGGATGGCCTCCGTAGATGGCTATTCTATGTCAGGACGCTGAAGAATGTTCGCTCCTTGGCTCAGAGAACACTCATACAAAACGTGAGGTTTGCTCGATAATAAGAAACACTTCTCCAGCAAGACAATAGCTAGTCTGGGCTTCAGAAGGACGTCATGGCGCAGTTGTAGATTCACCCATGTTCTCGTCTACACATGTCACTCAAGTCATTCACCAAGCCTAGAGCAGTCCCGTGAAATGTGCGGTTCTCATTCCCATAGAACTAATGTTTTGTCATGACCTCATCCCGAAAAAGAGCAAGTAAAAGTATCCTGTCCGACCCCAATGTGACAGGCAAGATAAACCCCCCTCCCCTTCCAAAATCGAACCATACGCCATGCTTTGGAAGAAGCGCTTGAAGAAACTCAAACTGTAGAAAAAAGACAACGTCGTTCCATGCCTGGCAATCGCCCGCCGTCATTCAGCTCTATATGAGGTTTGGAAAGCCCCCCACCCCGTTTCCCCTTTCCTGCCCCGCCGATATTCCCGACACATGTACATATCTTTGGTCCTTTTTCACCCATCTTCCCCAATTCTCTCTCTATTACAACATCTTGCGGAAAAAAATCAACGTCTCGAGGATCGACCTTGCTTTCTGCGGAAGAAGACGAGGTACGGCACGTCGGAGGTGCTCTTCTTGAACACTTCGCGACTGGCGTCGCCCCCGCGGCCCGTGCCGTCGATGCGGATCGGGGTCACGCGGGCGTCGTTGATGCGGTGCCAAGCGTGCGGGTCGGGGTTCTGGGGTTCGCGGACGTAGGAGTAGTAGTGACCGCTGGTGATGTTGGTGCCGGTGTGGATGATGACGGCGTAGCATTCGTAATCGAAGGGCAGCTCGAACTTTTCGTCGAGCGGGGGCCCGACGGTATTGCGTTCCTCGGGCGGGATGAAGAACTGGTCGAGGTTCAGGTTTTCAAAGTCCCATGTGATCATGTCCCGCTTCTTCTGCACCTGGCCGGTGTTGTCGTAGTCGAAGCGTCGGAAGCACACGCACAACAGCTCCGGCAGACGGGCGAGCGCGATTTGCTTTTGGCCCCGAACGTTCATGTTGCAGGTATCGCACTTGTAATCATCAATAAACTCCGGCTCGAGGTATGATTTCAGGCAGTCTTCAATCGTTTGTGTGTTGCTGTTGATAGGCACCGAGATGAAGTCGAATGTCGCAAAGCTGTAAGTGCGGTTGTTGCATCTTGAACACACCACGGTCGAGAGTTCCAAGCCACGCCAGTACCTGTCGACGATGGACGAGTTTGTTTTCAGGTAGTGACCCCACCACTCGTACGCACCCTGAAGCATCGACTTGCCAACCTTCATCTGAGGGTATGCTGCGTTCTCGTCGCCTACCCGATCTCTTCGCATGTTTGTCTCATCGTGAAGGTAGGCCATCAGCCAGGACATGAATTCTTGAGCATCCTGCTGTCGACCGCCACCAAACTCATCACCCTTGTCCTTGAGTCGGCTTTTTTCACAGACCGATCGAGAGTAGTCCTAGGAATGGTCAGTACAGCGCATATCTTTACGGGTGAGGAGGCTTACCATCAGTGTCTGGGCCTTCATGGTGGCAAACTTGCCGGAGTCCATCCAGTGGAACAGGTTGGATAGGATGCGCGACATGAGCTGAGGGGGATCGCTCTTCTCATCGGGCTTCTTCGGGACCTTGTACGTGTTTTGCCATTCAAACGTGGCCAGCTCCTTGCCAAAACCAGGCGACATCCGCAGGGCTTGGATGGAGCTGTTGGCGTAACACCAGACACCGGGGTTGTTGAGACCTGTGATGTGATGGCCATCCTTGACTGCGCCGACAGATGGAGAGTCGGGGCGGGCCAATGGGCCCTGCTTGAGGTTTCGAGCTTGCGCTGGGAAAGCCAAGCCTTGAGCCTCATGGTCATCCTGCGTTTGCGAAAGACCACTGTAGCTGGGACGAGGAACGGCTGGAGCTGGCCGCGTAGGTGGTGACGGAAGGTCAGAGTAGATATCGGCATGGTTTTGATAATTGTTGTACGTGGACTTTTCAGGACTGATGGGTGACTGCATGGATTCCTGCTCAGCTGAGACGGCTGGGAATCTGCGCAGAAACTCTTCAGTGCTGCGCACATGCATGAACCCAGGAGAGCGCGCAGTCTCGAGATCTGCATTGTGCAGCGTTTCCTCCCAAAGCTTTACCTCTTCAGGCTTCAAAGGCGTGACTTTGTATTGCCTGGCTGGCTTTGAGATGGAGATGGAGGGCTTCAAAGGAGATCGAATCCTAGGGGCCCTAGCAGCACCAGCTGTCTGGGACGTGGCCAAAGCAGCCCTTCCCATTAGATCTGTCCACGCATCCAGGCCTCCCTGGAGCAACTTGGGGGGATTCTTCAATTCCTTTCCGTAATTGAAGTACGTTAATGCGCGCTGGAGTGACAACAGTGCGGCTGCGTCCATGTCAGGAGAAATGTATCGTGGGATAGCATCTGAGTCCTGGTCATGGAAAACCACCAGGTCGAAAGCGTCCCTCCTCTCGAAGTGGTGGTATTCCTGCGCGGGTGAGAGTACCATGCTTTCGGCGATCTGCTCTGAAGATATGTTCTCTCTAAGTAAAATATTGGGTTCAATGCAGATGACGGCTTGTGACAGAATGTGGCCCTCGTCGAAATCGTCGCGGCTGCGGACGTCAATGATTAGAACTTGAAGTGTTGCGGAGCCCCTTCTTATAAAACTCATTAGGTCCTCGGCAGTGATGGTGTCGCCCTCGGGGATCGTGATGCTGGGACGGTGAATTGGAGCAGGAGCGGCATTAGGCTGAGGCTGGGGCTGAGCGAAGTAATCAGACGATTTGTTGTTGGTATTGATCGCGGCTGAGGAGCCCGTTCTGCTGAACAGGCCGCGGGGTGTACTTGAGGGCAAGGAGGCCGCTTCATTAGACACGGTTCCTCTGGCCGGGCTGTAGATGGCGTCCGGCATCTTTGGCAGGTCTGGCAGGCTTGTCACTACTGCCACCTTTGGTTTCTCGGTCGGTTCGGGCATCGCCCTCGGTCCTGCTGGTCTCGCCGGAACGAGGGGATGTGTTCGTATGCGGGGATCTTGGCCAGGCAAAGCTACCGGTCCTCTAAGATTGGCGAAGCGGGCTGCCAGATCCTCGGCGGCCTTGCTCTTGAGGGTCGGTGTGCCAGCCCCCGAACGTATCACATTGCCATGTAAAGATTGGGGCTTCGGCTGGACTGCAGGTTTCGGCTTCGGCGAGCCATTGACCTGTGTACCGGCCTCGGCTCTCGTGGGACTCATCAGTGGTGCGCCCGGCTGGCCCTGGGGTGACATGGGTCGGTTCGCTTGGCCGTTGACGATGGAGGATGGTCTCGAGGTGGTCGGGCGGACGCCCGTTCTTTGGTTATCGGCGATGATGTCGGCCTTGATCTTTTCAAAGGCTGTATGCTGGGACTCTATCTTCTTCATGAGGGCAGAGTAGATGCGGCTCATGTCTCCTTGGCCGCCCCTCACGGCCAGGGCATCGGGGTGTTGAGGCACATATCGAATGGCAATCAAGGAGGCCTTCAGGTACTCCTTGAAGGCGAGATCTGGTCTGCCAAAGTCGCGGAAGGTCTCGGCTTGTCGCATGGCATTGTCGCCCCTCTCGAGGATCTTGCGCAAGGGTAGCTTCATGTCGACATCGGGGGAGGCGGAGGTGAGGTCGTCTATATGGGGTAGGGGTTGTTTGGCGCCGCGGCCGGCCGGTCCCCCGTCTCCGCCCATGGCGAAGGAGTGTAGAGAGGTGCCGTTGGACATGGCAGGACCGCCGCCGCCGAGGACGGTTCTGGTGGCTGAGGAGGCCGTCGAACTCATGTGAACGAGGAACGGTATCTGGGGGATGGGTGTGGAAGTTGGATCATGTCGCTGCACGCGCGGCTGCTCGGTCGGTCGCGGGAGATGTTGTTGTGATTTGGGTTGGTAGATTCGAGGAGTGACGGTGGTGGTGGTGGGAGGATTCGGAGCGATCAAGGTACGGAGGACGGGACTCGGAGACGACGACAATCGGCGGCGGGATCGTCATGGGTGGCAGGCGACGGGACGCTTTAGTAGTACGTTGCAAGCGCAGCTGCAGGGCGGTCTGCAGTGTGCATGTTTCCTTGAATAGAGCAGAGGGCTTTCGGTGGGTTGGAAGAATGGCGGGGGCAGCCAAAAGGCGTCTTTGAGGAAAAGAGAGGAAAAGAGAGGTAGAGTAGAACAGATTTGTGGTGCCGTATGCTGTGCTGCCGTCTTGTGAAAGGACGATGGTCCGTGGTGGAGGGCAGCCTCGCTGTCGTCGTCGCCGGGCGCTAACAGTTTCAACAATGGCAAGACATTGTGGAGAGGGAACGGTACCGTTGCGGCGGCTGTGTTTTTGGGGGGCGTTACGGTATCTTATCCGAGAGGGCCGGTACCCGTCGACACCGAGACCAGGGCTACCTCTGGACAGGGCAAGTAAATGCTGCGCTGGAGGGCAGTCGGGATCACTGACGCATCCGGCCTCTTGAATGCTTCAGGCACTGCGATGGAACAGGCGGACAGGGCGGGCAGGGTAGTCGGTCCCCCTGTTTTTCTCTTCTCTTCTCTTCAGTCTCAGGGCATCACATCGGGCGACTGTCACTGAAGGAGGGCGGCCGGGCGGCGGGTTCGCCGTTGATTTTACTTGGGTGCATGCACCTTGGGCGGCAACTTTGAGTACCTAAGGTAAAGAAAGCTACGGATACCTAGGTAGGTGCTAAAGCTGGCATGACTGACAACTCATAGTGCCGCGCCACAACCAATATAGCTTGGCTTTTACCTAAATACCCACCCTCGATGTTGTTTCTTTGCCGGGTATTACATGGCGACAAATGCAAAAATGCATTACATTGTGAAGGAGCTCGTCAAAGAGTGCATTACCCAGAGATCCCCAAGTCATGTACCTACAGCAAGCTCAATGCCAAGGCCCGCAGCAATTTGGGCAGGTTGGCAAACCCATGCGCCACAGGTGGCTCCACCGCCATGTTCCCAACTTCGTCATCTCTGGGGAACCCCCCAAAACCCGTCTTCAAAGTCCCACGCCCTTTGGGCTTAGCGCGGAGATTTCCGGCCGCCGATTTCTATGAAATACGTACCGCGTAGTCAGCAGCACCAGGTAAAGCAGCCACGAGGCCCGCGACGACACCTGCAAGGCAGCCCTTTACCAATCCCCATGCATCCCTGCTGCGGAACCAGAGTCGCTACGTAAGTTTAGGTACCCGTCCTGCCTGACTACCTTACGCACTGAGCCAACGTAAGGTAGCCACCACCAGGCATCGAAGTATCTCGCCGTATCCAGCCCGCCTGCAAGCTACCTCCCAGGCGACCTGAGGTGGACAATCGGGCCTAGCCTGCTGCATCTCCAACTGAACGAACTATACGCACCATCCCAGAGACCCCAAGGCTAAGGCTGTTGCATCTGGGCCAACAGACACACGCTCTCCAAGCTTTCCTCTTGTCGCTCCTCCATCAATATTCCTACGCGCAATCCATTCCACCTCCGCCTCGTAATCCCGTAACGTCGGTATCGCGACCGCACCCGAACCACGTACACATAGATAGCCCGCCGACGACGATCGACATTCGCTTGTTTGCACTCGCCTCCCCGCCCATCCCGCATACCGCATCCAGCCTTCAAGATGATGGGCTGGTGGTCCAGCTCGGCCAACACGGCCCTGGACGAGCAGATCGAGAAAGCCACCAGCAGCAGCTTGTACGACCCGATGCCGATGTTTCAAATGACTGTTCTAACGCTGCAACAGGGAGGATATCGCTCTGAATCTCGAGATCTCTGATGTCATCAGGTCCAAGACCGTCCAGCCCAAGGAGGCCATGCGCTCCCTCAAAAGGCGCATCGGCAACAAGAACCCAAATACCCAGCTGAGCGCCCTTAACGTATGCCATGCTTCGCTGCTGCCTGCTCTTATATACATAAGCTAACCCGGATGGTAGCTTACCGACACGTGCGTCAAAAACGGCGGCACCCACTTCCTTGCCGAAATCGCCTCGCGAGAGTTTATGGACAACCTGACCTCGCTCCTCCAAGCCGTTGGTCCCGCCGCCGTCAACCACGAAGTGAAGCAGAAGATCCTCGAGTTGATACAGTCCTGGGCCGCCGCTACCGAAGGCCGCCACGAGTTGGGATACATCGGAGAGGTCTACAAGACACTACAGAGAGAAGGCCACCACTTCCCTCCCAGGGTCACCGTCTCCAGCAGCATGATTGACAGCAGCGCTGTAGGTTTTCTGTCTGTATGCCGTTGATTTCCCCCACGCTGACAAGTAACAGCCCCCCGAGTGGGTTGATTCAGATGTCTGCATGCGATGCCGAACCCCCTTCACCTTCACGAACCGAAAGCACCACTGTCGCAACTGCGGCAACTGCTTCGACCAGCAGTGCTCGACCAAGTCGCTGCCCCTTCCCCATCTCGGCATCCTCGCCCCCGTCCGCGTCGACGATGGCTGCTACGCGAAGCTTACCGACAAGTCCAGCAAGGGAGGCGCGCCTTCGCCACTGCCCCAAGACCGATCTCCCACCTACCCTTACAAGACCCGCAGCACGTCTGCTATGCAGCCGCGCAATGCGCGCGTTGACGACGCATTCGATGAGGATCTGAAGAAGGCGCTGGCTATGAGTCTGGAGGAGGTCAAGAACTACTCCAAGGGCTACGTGCCTCCCACCGTCAACGGCCCGGATGCCAAGGTGAACGGAAGCTCTACTGCCCCGACGAATGGCGCAGAGGATGAGGACGAAGACCTCAAAGCTGCCATCGCCGCCTCGCTGGCTGACATGGAGGAGCAGAAGCAGAGGCACGCCGCTGTATTGAAGGAGCAGACGTCGAGCGCTGGACCCTCATCGACTCAGCACTTTTCCCTGCCCAAGAACGACTACGAGCTTACCCCGGTCGAGGCCGAGAACATCAACCTCTTCGCGACCCTCGTCGACCGTCTGCAGACGCAACCGCCTGGAACCATTCTGCGTGAACCCCAAATTCAGGAGCTGTATGACAGTATCGGCACTCTGCGGCCGAAGCTCGCCCGCACCTACGGAGAGACCATGAGCAAGCATGGTATGTACAGCCCTTGAGTGCCCCCCGTTTTCAGTACTTACCCATCCCAGACACCCTCCTGGATCTACATGCCAAGCTTTCCACTGTCGTGCGATATTACGATCGTATGCTCGAGGAGCGGCTGTCCAAGGCATACAGCCAACATGCCGTCGGAGGGGGTTACAACCTTCCTCCTGTCCGCCACTCGACCGGCTCTTATCCTTCACTTCAGGCCAGCGCCCCTGGTGCTGCCGAGAACTTTTACACTGGCGAGCAACGAGTGGACTATGGTCACGCTCCGCCACCCCAGGCCTACCCTCCTCATCCTCAACACCCTCCTCAGCCTCAGTACGCGACGTTCGATAAGCGAGCGTCGGTGTCTGGGCCCCCAACTGGCGTATACCCTCCCCAGGAGCCTCAACGGACAGACAGCTGGAGAAGTGGAGGTGCGCCCGCGCCCGAGCAGTATGCGCCTCAACCTTCGTATCCCAGCGAGCCTACCCCTCCCGCAAACCACCAAAACCAACCCGCCGCAACACCATCAAACGATCCCAACGCCTCTTACTACTTCAACCCTCAGCAACCCAGTGCGCCCCCGTCCGCACCACCATCCGCCGACCCGAATCCCTCCCCGTACCCCAATCTTCAGCAGGCAGTGCAGTATAGACAGTCTGTGTCTCACCAGCAGACACCTGTCCAAGCACCGGCCCAACCCGCTCAGCATACACAGCAGCATCAGGCTCCGCCCCAGCAGCAGAGCTACTGGCAGCCGTCAGTACCCCAGCAATCAGCGCCGCAGCATTGGCAGGGCCAGTACAACAGCGGATATACCCAGGAATCGTTCCCGACTGCGCCGCAGCACGCCCCGAAGCAGCCGGCGGTGGAGGAGAGTCTAATTGATCTTTGAGGAGGATGCGGTCCGAATGCATGCAGGTCTACTACATAGGTTTCGGCGTTTCAGGGACACAAGGGCAAGCCGAAGTAACTCTTTGCATTACTCGGGCTTGAGAATGAGCTGTAAAATGACATCTTTGTTGGACACGTTTGCATTCCCTTGTCCTGCTCGTCGCCGGGAACAATAATCTGTGATGTGGAGTTGTACCAAGTGCCAAGGTGTCATAAGACTAATGTATTCATTTGATTGACGATTGCATGTGCTTGATTCTTTTTGTTCCTACCCTTGCGTGATTCTCCCTTAGTCGATTACTCTTCCGCCAATGACCCTAGGTCAACCTTTGGTGCTTTGACATCAAGGGCACACTCGTTGTTAAGCAGTCGAACGGCTGTTGATGATGTCAAGATGAGAGATCCCTCCATATCCCACATTACGCCTCTCTTGACCATCTTCCAGGCTGATTTTATATGTTCATGCCAGTCCTCGTTGTCACCAAGTATCAAACCTCCAGCTGGTCGGGTTCCTGGACGACCTCCGTCATGACGACGTCGCGACCCTCCTTCAGGCGGCGCGATGCCTTCTTCCAGGCCTTCTTGCGGTCCTTCAGGGCGAGCATGTGTTGGCAGCGATGCCACTCGCCCCTCTCTTTGTATCGCATGATCTGGCGATATCGACGTGCCCGGACTTTGCTTAGCGACGGGTATTCGATCAGGGCTTTCCGGAGTAGAAGGCCGCCTTGGAGCCAAGACTGATGTTGTGACGTACCTTGATATCGACCTGGTCGAGGGGCAGACCCCAGTCTTCGTTTCGAAGGTCGGGGTTCCTGGCTTTGGTATCAGTATTTCCTTTGGGGTTGTGGGCATGAGGGATGTTTACTTACTTGTATCCTGGGAAGGCGGGGATCGGCTTGAGGAGGGAGAGGTTGGTTCTCGGCTTGCGCTGGGTAGCAGGCTTGGAGTAGGGCTGCTTCGTCTGCTCCTTGGCCTTCTGCTGCTTAGCTTCCTGCTCTTCAACTTCCTGCGGCTCGACCTTCGCTACCACCTCGTCTACGTAATCTCCGGTTTCTTCGTCGTCTGTTTTGATAGTTAGTCGGTCTGCTTGGAACAATCGCATTGTTGGCATGGCACTTACAATACAGGGCGAGGGTCTTAGGTCCCACACGGGGCACGAGATTTCCGTCCTTATCGTAGATGAAGTGAGAGAGGTGGAAGATCATGGGAGTGCCTTCATTTGGATACCCTCCCCAATCTTCGTGCTCATCCTCCTCGCTCTCCCAGCCTTTGTTCTCCTCGTCCTCGTCGTTTTTCTCCTCGTCGTTCTTCTTCTTTTCGTACTCCTCCTCCTCCTTCTTGAGCTTGCGGGCGGCGAGGGCCTCGGCTTCTGGTTCGGGGGTCAGCTATCTTGATTCGCTTTCGGCAGGCATCTTAGACACTTACGAATGCGAGCAAAGTATCCGAGAGGTATGTAAGAGACGATTCGGTCTGCGTTTTCCGCAAGGTACTTCAAATCCTCCTTGGAGATGTCAGACATGGTGGCGACGGCGATGATGGTGATGGCAATATGCGGGAGTTGTTGTGTTGGTGTTCAGATGGAAAATCTGGGGAAGGACTGAAGGAAGGTGAGTTTGAAGGGTGAAACAAGAGACCTGTGTCGAGATGAAGGTGCTCTGAGAGACGTATTATGGTTTAGGACGGGGCGGGTGAATAGTGTGTGGGTGGTGAATGAGACGGTGAATGTGAAGGTGAAATCGAAGCGAGAGCGGCAAGTCGCGTGAAGCCCACCACGTCCATCACTCCCAGTATACGGGCGAAAATGTGCCATGTATGTGGCATCAGTCATCCATTCGATCAAAGTACGACCTAAACCGAGGAGTCATGGCTCTTGCAAAAAGTTGGTCTGCTGGGTTTCCTCCTCCCAATAACGGGAGATGTAGTATCCGCAGCTTGTTACGTATTTTTCCTCCGCCTCCGTCAATAATGTACTCAAGTCAATCTTTGGTAGTTGATACTAGATTCAGTTAAACAGGGTTAAGCATCAATCATGGGTACGAAAGATTTTGTTTTAGAGGGGGGTGTTTCCTCGGTGAGCCTGGAAGATACATGTTCATCTCAGTTCTTGCTGACAACCTAGTCAGAAGTCTCTAGTTCGGTCCGTCCTAATAGCGTTATCAGATACCCTTCGATCCAGCGGCATTCTCAGACGCCTCCCGCCGGCCCTGTTGCTGCTGGTCATATTGGAACTGCTCCCACGCAGCAATCTCTCTGGCCAGATAGACCTCACGCTGGCGGCGTGTCTATGGGAGACGAAGTTAAATATCAATGTCTATAGAGACCTGTAGAGCGCTTTTCTTCTTTGAATGAACGAGGAACATGAGAAGAAATTGGTAGGCGTGTTACCTTGAGGTCGACTTGGTCGAGAGGCAGAGTCCACTCATCATTCAGAATTGCAATGTTCCTAGCCATTCTATGTCAGTATGTTCATCTGATTCGAAGGAAAGCGGTTTCTTGGGCTTACATGGTTCCCGGGAAGACGGGACGAGGCTTAAGGAGTGAGGGGTGGATTCCCGGCTTTGACTCGGGAGCGGATGAGGAGCAAAAAGAGGAATCCTTTGTCTGCTCTTCTCCCTTCTGCTGCTACTCTCCATTGTTATTCCTCGCCTCCTCCTCCTTCGCTTTGCGTTCGCGGTCGGCGAAAGCCTTCGCTCCTGTTTCCATAGTTAGCTTGTTGGGCAAATCGAGTGTCGGGGCACATACGGAGACGAGCGAAGGTTCCAGGAGGCTGGTAAGGTGCAAGGATGTTGGGACGGTCTTCGTTGGGCATAGTGATGGTGGTTATGTCGGTCGGCAATGATTTATGTGTGTGTTGTGTTCTGGCTGTGCCTATGTTGAGAGGAGGAAGGGTGGGAAGATATTTAGGAAAAGGTGAGCTTTTTGAGGATGAGGTAGATGCCTGGCTATCTAGAAGTGAGGTACCTGAGGTAGACGTGGGTGAAGATGAAGTCGAAGTGAAAGCGGAAGCGGAAACAAATACCCGCCCTGTGTCCCGTTACGTTCATTCATTCCACAATCGCTGGTTTTTCGGGCAGTATGAATACCGTCTGGATCGGGACGTTTCCAGGTTTTCTTTGCCTACCGATGTTTCCCTTGTAATGTGGAAACAACGATCTACGCTTGCTTCCCTATACGATGCTCTCACTCAGCATCCCTGGCACTAGTGGTATGTGTCCGTAGATTATACTCCAAGTATTTGTTGACAGTCAACAACTTTAGGGAGAAAATGTGTTTGTCTGGGCTTGGGCAGTGAAGGAGTGTACTTTCAACGGGGTGGTTCAAAGAAATCGACCATTTCATGAGCATACACCGTACCATGGAAGGCGAGTTCATTGCCGGCCTGTGCCCAAAGATCCAAGCATAGAGCCCCCATTTTATGGTATTTTCGAAGTCTTCGTGGACTTGGCTTGAGCCTTGTTCGGCTGAGTGGCTGCTTTCCCCAGTTCTAAGCAAAAAGGCCTTGTTTGCTTCAGACCTGGGAAGTCTCAGCTGTGTACAAAAACTCTGCTTTGAAGCGTTATCTTAAAGGGGGTTTCCCTAAACAGCAATGGGAGTCGGTATTTGAGAAAACTTGGGATGATTTGAAGCGCGACGAGGCGACAAAGTAACCAACAGCCCTAGGCACCAACACCAGAGATTTAGTCCATCATTTTGAGCATCCCTATATTTTACTATTGCCTTCTTCCATCTCGCACTTATTGTTATGACGTATTCGTCATTAAGTGGCTGTCTTTACGTGTTGTCTGTGAATGAGGCCGCAGATGTCCTCGGCGGCAGCAGTGACTCTTTCTGATTTCCATATAAGCAAGAGAAACGGTGGAACTAATCCATGAGGCGGACATGGAGATGGCATTGGTTTGGATCTGATGTCTGAAGATGTAAAGGGGGGCTTTTTAGGGCAATCCAGGGGCATATATCTTGCCTAACGTGTTATTTTTGAGAGCGAGGCCCGTTACCGGAGAGCTTTTTCAAATGAGGCAGACTCTGCCGATGTCGAGAGTTGGCTGACGTTGATCTGAGCTGGATCGTTTTATTATTTAAGAGCCAGGGCAACGCTGGTGACGGGTTGCCTCCGCACAATAGGCGGGGACCCTCTGCGATCAGTTATCTCTACAACGCTGGGATGCAGAGAAATCAGGCTAGCTTCAGGTAGACTACGTACACTTGCATCTTTATCGGCTTCTCGTCCAGGTATACTGTATACCTGAGAATATCTAATGGACATGAGCGATGAAGAACGACCAGACCGACTTGGCTTGAGTCCGTCTTTCAAATTCACCCGAAAGAACCAGCAAGCTTTGTGCTTGCACTCGTATAGCTAAGAGAACCGATGAAATAACGATCTTTCTCTCCCTATATTTGGCTTGCTGTAAAAAGACCGAACCTCGAGGTAGTCCTCGACATCTCAAATAAGCTTTTCTGCTCGAATTCTTAAAAGGTTGGCCGTCGTGATAGGACGAAAAACATTTGCGCCTGTAAAAACGAATTACGTTGTGGTCCTTTGTGGTAGAATATATAACCTCGCAGTTCTGTCTTAGTCTGCCCCTGCCCCTGGTTCATACACAAGTGGAATAAACACAAGAGACATACCTCAAATCTTTAGGGTCCGTTGAAGTGACTTCGTTGGAGAGGACCAGTCCAAGTCTCTCAACCAGAGCATAGCTCAACAGAAGGATACGAATCGGCTCCGATTGAGGTCTTACAAAGGGAACGATAATTGATCCATCTTTCGGCTTGCGATGTACAGCATGATAATTTATACGAGGCAGACTGCCAGAGCAAACAGTAACTGTCGTTGAAGTCTCTCCGCTCATTAGTATGCTTTCCTGGATTCGCTAAATTTGACGCCGCGTGTTATTTTGCGAGGTTTTAGTGCGCCAAAGACAGCAGCAGGGAGCGCTTCACGTTGCCTGTCTTGGCCGACGAAACATTAGTATTTGATTCGATCTCCCGAGCTACAATGCCCGAGTAATCGTTTATCACACCAAGTAAATGAAAGACGATGCAGATAACTGAGAACTGTTATGAATCTGTTTGGAAACTTCCTCGGCTTGGCTTTCGGGCTTCGTTTGGGACTTCACCGTTTTGAAAGCAAACTTCAGCGGCCATTTAGCGGCCAAATTGTTCGTAAACTCAAAGCCCGAACTCACAATCTGCCTGTTTATCCTCATTCTCACCTGACAGCTTCAGTGAGTCACTCCATCTTCCGGGCTAGTTCGAAATCTCGGCAACCTGACCAATTTCAAACATCGCGCACCAGCTCAATTGTATAAGTTGCCGCAAGCAGTAACTCCGTCGCAACGAAGTCGGCCCTTGATCTCGGCAACAAGTCAGCTCGCCTCAATTGATAAGCCGTTCCCCCCTGCCCCGCCCAACCACTCCGGACGGCGCCAGACGGGTGTGTCCCACATTTCGCCCCGGTCATCGGCGCCGCAGCGCTACGGTCGGTGCAGCGGGCCAGCGTCCTTGGCTCTAAGCCAGCACACCCGCTGTAAGCTGCGCTGCGCTGCGCTGCGAGTTTCCTCTCCTGTCGTTTGAGTCATTTTGCGAGAAGATTCTTGTCCCGCCATGATGCCGGTGGAAAGAACATCCGCTTTTGGCTATCCATGGATGTCTGGTGTGTGTGAGGTGTGCACTGGCGCCGTGGACCCTGACTCCAGTGTCCGCCGCCGCCGCAGCCAACGCCGCTTCGCCCCAACCAAGGAATTTTTCCGAGGACGGGGGAGCCATTACGTAGTTGTCTCGAGACCGCGTGCTTTTATCATTGGATCGTGAATCACGCAGTCATCCACACCGAGCACCGGAGGTTTTGTAACGTTTAGAAAGTGAACAAATAAACCACATCGCCAGCCTTTTCCCGCAACCTTCAAGGTGTTTGTTTTTCTTTCCCCAGAACTTTACCCCGCCTGTCTCACAACTTCATCTGTCTCACCAACATCAAACCCCTCCAAGTCAATTGCATGTCATAGAACCGACATCTCACCACTCAGAAACTTCTCGACATCGCCAATCTCATCAACCATGCCTGTCCAAATCCACCTCGTCCGCCACGCCCAGGGCTTCCACAACCTCAACGTCGAGAACGAGGCTATCCGCGACCCCCTCCTCACAGACAAGGGCAAGCAGCAATGCGCCGACCTCCGCGCCGCCTTCCCCCACCACTCCAAGCTCACCCACCTCGTGGCCTCCCCGCTGCGCCGCACCCTGCACACCTGCCTCCTCGGCTTCGGCCCCGAAGACGGACACCTGGGCAAGGTCATTGCCCTGCCCGAGGTCCAGGAGGTCTCGGATGCCCCGTGTGACACCGGCTCCGCCGTCTCTGAGATTGAGAGTGAGTTCGAGGGCAAGGTGGACTTCAGCCGGGTGCCCGAGGACTGGACGGAGAAGAAGAACCCTGAGAGCAGGTGGGAGCCGACGTTGGAGAAGCTCGAGGTCAGAGCTGCGGAGGCGAGGAGGGCTTTGAGGGAGATCGCCGGTGGTGTCGAGGGGGATGCGCAGATTGTCGTTGTCACTCACGGCGGTTTCTTGCACTTTTTGACAAACGACTTTCACGGAGTCCCTGCTGGAAAAGGTACGTTTTCTCCCTGACGTTCATGAGAGCTGTTGCCGGACGGTCTTGCTAATGAGCTTGCAGCGACTGGGTGGGAGAACACCGAGTACAGATCGTACAACTTTGCCGACAGCACCGGCAAGGACGAGAAGGCGCTGTTGACCGAGACGCAGGAGAGCTGGAACCGTCGCCAGGGCGAGAAGACTCGTCCTACGCCTGAGGAACAGGCTGAGCTGCAGCGGGTGTTCTACAGAGACATGGAGCCGTACCTGAAGTACACTGCTGAGAGAGGCTGGATGCAGTAGACGGGTTTAGACAAGATGAGTAAAATTCGCATAGAGTAGACGGCATGCATTGGAATAGACCAGACATGGCAAATGACTTAGAATACCATGACATTACTCTGCTCGGCTTCGTGAGAGGTTGACGCCAGTGTGTTCTGTGCCAATTCTCCAACTAAATCAACTCTTCCGTGTCCTCGGAACTCATGTTACAATAACGGTCAAGATCTAGCCCGATAATCGGTCTCATAAATACTTGCCAACCTAAAACTCATTCGATATACACGAAACATTCGTGGTGGGTAAACCGGGACGTTGAATCAAGAAATCGCTGGCATCGTCTTCCACCGAGCATACTCTTAGACTTAGTAAACCGTGGAATGCCGGTTGGGGAAATTCGAGGACTGGTATTGGTCTCGACATTGGGGCCTCTCTATTTGCATAGTACAAAGCTTGGTATAATCCCAAACACCACTGACCCGTCTAGAACCTTTTTTCCGTTCATCATCATTTTTACTTTAAATCTTTAAAAGTCCTCCTCGCCAGACCCGGCGATGATGACGTTGTTGACCTTCAATACCATTCGGCATAATTGCGTCGCCAGCATGAGCTGCTGTCTCTTGCTGATGAGGGGGTCGATAACGAAGGCGTCCTTCATGTCGTTGCTGCCACGGTTCATGCAGTCAACACCAAGCTTTCCGCGGTCGGCAGGACTGGCCTTGACCTGCTGGCTCTTCACCTCGGCCAGAGTGGCGATAGGGTTGAGACCGCTGTTCTCGGCCAGGGCCATGGGAACGGCGTCCAGGGCCTCGGCGAAGGCACGCATGGCGTACTGCTCGAGACCAGGAGTCTTGGTGGCGGCATCCTCGACCGCCAGAGAGCAGGCAATCTCGGCGGCACCACCACCGTAGACAACGCGGTTATCCTTAACCAGGTTGC